CACTACTTTCATTCAAGTCAAATGAAAGTTTGATCAAAATAAATATGATCACACCTAAAGCAATTCTTATTTAAGCATTACCTATGTTTCAAGCTCAATTTCTGTTTACTCTTTATGACTGAGATCAGTCTCATCTAGGACTTACAGTTTTGTTAATTTATCCCCATCCCATGAAAATGCAAGTATTTTTCCCTTTAAAAACAGAAATCGGAAATTTCACTAAAGCTTTGACACCTGTTTGGATAGCTAGATAAAACAAACAAAACACCAGAAATCCTAAAGACAGCATGTCAGTACTAATAGTAAAGCTTTGAGAACCTGCTCAGCAGGTCGTGTAACTCAGGATCTTCTGGCAGACATTTCTTTTGGATCCAGGCGGAGGGACAATAGAAGGTTTGTATCCTGAGATACTATTTCAGCTTCTTTGTATCACTATGTATTTTATGAATTAGCCTGTCAGATTCTTGTGCTCTTACGCATTCTCTCACAACCATTTGGTTTGATGACAGACCTTATGCATAAACCTTTGATTGGGATAAATATGAAGCAAGTAACCTTTACCATACTCATAATAAAAATGTGTAAGAAGTCACAAGTAGAAGTAGGAAAGACAGCAAAGCCAGTGCTTTCTGTCAGCTCTTGTCTTCACAAGTACATTATTGTTTTTAATGCTTTGCTATGAATTTACCAGCTCTGGATCACTTCAAAGGATAAACAAGTATAAGAAGTATATTAGATCTCTGAAATACAGTAGAAAATTCACCAGTCCTTTATGAGTATTTAAAATATATCATTTTGTTGTTCAGTTGAAGCTGTTCTTAGGATAATAGGCCTATCTTTACATGGAGAATCAAGACTTTCCCCAAATCAAGTTTCTTTTCCTGATCACATCCGTTGTGGGATAGTTATGCTCCGTAGGTTACTACTGAAATTCAGCCTTGGTTGTACAATGTTTGACTTTTAAAAGAAGAAATAAAATTTTCAGATATCATTAAATTATCTTTCAGGTAAACTGTGGCACAAAGAATGCTAACATGTTTGAATAGGTGAAACTATACTCATTCGCATAAGCTATAAACTGCAGAAATGGTTAAGTCTTTTCTGTAAACTAAGAACAAAATGGAGAGATTTTCTAAAGATGATCTTGAAGTAGAACTTTTTTAAAAATTTTTTTCCTTTTTTTTTTTTTTTTTTTTTTTTTTGTATGGTGCTGGGCAACAAACCCAGGGCCTCATATATGCTAAGTGCATGCTTAGCCACTGAGCCACCGCTGCAGGTCAAGTACAACTTTGAATGGTTCTGTTTAATTCAGTGATACCCAGCTTAATTTGAAGGTGTTGGAGGGTGTCCACAGTCTATGTTGATTTGCTGTTTTCCTATCCTATCACTCTTACTTGCTTCTACATTTGCAAATATAACAATACACGTCTTCCTCAGCCACTGAAACTTGCCTCTTGATCTGGGTAGATTTAAAATGCAGTAGCTTGGGCTGGTGAGATGGCTCTGGTCTAAAGCACCTA